CATACTGAGAATGGCACCAAAGGGTTAAGGTCAATAATTTCAAGAAAATTAATTGAAAAATCGTTTCATCAACTATCAGTGAATGAGGTCTTACCCGATGACTTGCCAGGATTGGATTCCTCGATCGGCTGCAGAGTTCGCGACATCATCGCCTTAATTTCTTGACGTCTTACTCTTCAAGCCAAAACGAATGCCGCGCTACGGTGCTTGCGAATCGTGATGAGACGCTCGTAAAATCTCTATCGATGTCCATCAATCCATTGAGTTCCGTGTCAAGTCCGACAGATTCGCCATGGCTGCGTGTCGCATTTTTCGTGAGCGTACATTAACCAGCACTGATATAATTGATTATAATTAGGCAAGTGAGAGATCTTTTGTGGTGATGATGATGATGATGTAGCAGTAAAATCCAAGCACTGTGACGTAGTGATTGATGTTTCTTTCTTCGGATTACTTGAACTTATTCACAATAGTGTAAATAATGATTAACGGTAATTAATAGAATTTTTCAATGTTACAATTTTGTTTTCATGGAGAGATGTGAATGTTTTCCTCTTTTTCAGTAGTTAATAAAAATAATGTATTTGTTGGTTATTATAAAGGAAATAAAGATAATTATTCCAAATTTGACTTAGAAGCTGCTTTAAAAAATTTATTGAGACTCATATTTCAGTAAACGAGAATAGATTGAAATGGATTGAAATGGATTGAGATTTTCAGAAGTACATATTTGCAAACGTTAAAATGAATCCTTTTCAATCTGAATGTATTTTATTTATTCCAAATTGGATAAAATACTTATGCATATGCTTTTCAATCTAAAAATAATATCAGTTTTTTTCTTTATTTCGTAAACTTTTTAATTTAAAATTTTGAATAGCAAATGTAGTTTTCCAATCCAATTGAATCGAGTTGAATCCAGTTTGTATATAATTAGTATACCTGATTCGTTCTTTTTTTAAGTGCCAAACTTCACGAGAAGACAATTATTCTGGACATTATAATTTATTTCAATCGATTTGTATTCCTTTTATCTTATATAGATGAACAGTCTTTAGGAATTGTTTGTTACGAGTATATTCTTCTATGAAATCAATTCCAATGTTTTTTTCTTTTAATGTAGAAATGAGTTCATCAGAGAGAATTCGTTTTTTTCTTCAAAAAATTAATATTTGATTTTTATCAGAACGTGTCTATCTCTAATACTGAGACATACTTCGCAATCACTTCTGCTTTTCTTCAAAAATATCCTCGCTAAACACTGTAAGGCATTTCTCTCTGTTTCTTCGATTCTTCCAAATATATTCTCTTCTCCAAAAAAATTAATACATTTGTTTTATTTTCCAAGAAAAAGAAAACTTTTCACTGATTTCTTTTCGTCTCTCCTGAGGATGTACGTCTTAGATTCGATTTACGGCAAATGCGAGAATGTCGGGCGCGCAAAAAGCGGATAAAATACGTCGTACGACACCTCCGATGGCACGTGCGCGACGATTCGCACGTCACGTCGCGTCACTTCATGCGAGTCAACGTGCGAGTCAACCGACTGAAGCACTATGCGCGACTCCGACACGCGCAACTGCGCGCGGCTTCCGCGGACTTTCGAATAACGGGTTGACGGCTTGCCTAGCTGTGAGAGAGAAGACCGCGTGAGAGTTACATCGGCTACACATCGACCAGCACTGCGTCGCTCCGGCCTCCGGAACACGGCCCCCAGCGGCTCCAGTTTCGGCCCCGCTGCGGAACATCCTCTTGTGATCCTCCGCGAAGTGGGAGACGAGAATCGCGGAGATCTCCTCCCTCCACCCTTACTAGCGAAAGGATCTCTCAAGAAAGGAGAAAAAAAGAAAGAATCAAATATATTAAAGAAAGAGGTGGAAGAATTCATTACTTTTGTGTTGCAGGACTCGGATTGTCGCTGCTATTAATTCTTGCGGGACTGACAACAGCGTGGGCGCATACTATGTCTACGTTCCGTTGCACTTAATGTTCGCAATGTTCGCATACATTATTTCAGCCTTGTTTAATATTTGATAACAACAAGGGTGAAACGATACGACCGTTCCGAACTAAGTGGGAAGCACCCTTTATATATCAAAATTTTTCACCTGTGTGCCACGAAAAATTTAGAGTAAAAAGAAACAACAAAAATTTAGAAATAAGTATAAAACAGTGAGTAGTGTGTGCAAAAATATTTTAAAAATTCGCTGCATACTGCAAATGAACTTGTATGATATTTATCAAATAACAAATAACAATCTTTAGCATTCAGTGTTTGTACGGCAGATAGGTACATGTATACTCGGATTAATATGATGTATCTCGATAAATTTGGATGTTTTATGAGTTAGCGGAACAAAGTAAGCAGAATCAAATCTAATTAATTTTTTTGTTGCTAAAAAATTGCCAAAAGAAAAGATTTGTTATGCAATTTTTCTAAAAAAAAAAAAAAATTATAAGTTATAGAACAATATATGTATTATATATAGAATGATAAATTGTACTTAACAATAACGTAGGAATTTATTGTCAATTTATACTATTAAAATATCCAAGTTTCAAATCCATTATTTGGGAAATAAATGTAATAAGTAACAACAATAAACCTGTCAAAATATAAGAGTAAAGTACAAAAAAAAGTTTGTTGCCTGCTTAAATTTAGTACGTTTACTGAGACATTATCTGAATGTTGCTCTCACAGTCTGATATTAAGGCTTTGACTAATTTTAATCGACGGTTAGTCAATTGGAATTGATCAATCGCATTTACCGTTGACAAATGCTTTCTGTAGCATTAAAATAATGTAATGTGATTTAAATAAGATAATTAAGGAAAGTATCGATGTTAAATTTTATTTGCACTAATTCGTAAAATTTATTTCTACACATACCTTTTCAGCGTTAGTTGAGTATGAAGTTCAGCATTTTCACAGTGAAAGATATAAAATCGTCAAAGATACAAAGTTGTTTCAAAATATACTTATAAAATTATTTATATTACCCAATTTAATTATTTATATTACCCAAATAATTAATTTTAATTAATCTTAATTACTTAGTTACAATTAAATTACTTAATTACTTAATTACAATTTGAGTTTATATTATTTGTTACACTCACGTTCAGTGAAGTTAGTCAGACTTGTAATTTGATAGTTTTCTTACTCATCTTAAATAAATACGAAATTCTTGTAACAATGATGGAAAAATAAAAAATCATTGCAAACGTGCATTCATAAATCGTCTCCTTAAATTCCAATTATATTTAAAATTAAAACTATTTGTCACCTATTTGTGTTCACTTGTCTTCACAGCATATATCTATATGATTCGGTCGCGATCTTCTTCTTCGAATATTTTCTTCTCCAAGTAACTGTTCACGAACGTTCGACAACTGCAATTTGTCACTTTTTTTTCGAGCCAAAGCCAGAGAATCCCATAATTGCAGCCATTTCATCAGAAGGTCCTGCATCATCCTCGGATAATTCCTCAATTTTCCTCTTCTTATCCTTTCGCTTTTCCTTTCTATACTCTTTGATTTTTTCTTCCTAATAATAGAAATAATGTTGTAAAAAAATTACACAACGCGCGCGCGAAAAAAAATGTTTAAAAAACAATCTTAAATAAACCTCTTCCTTCAGTTCCTTTACTCTTTGTTCCAAATCATAATCTTTCTTTTTTTCTTCGAGTTTCTTTTTGTTTTCTGCAAATCTTGCTTTAACTTGATCCAATGTAGATCGCTCTATCTTCATGGACATACCAAGATTACGTTGATCTAATTAAAAATTAAAAATTATAATTAAAATGAGAAAATATTTTAATTCTATTATAATTTGTGAATTAGTGAATTATTTAAATTTACGTTTTGTCCCATTGATATGGTCCAAGAAATTGATTGAATCTTTGACAACACAGTCGCAAACATTGCAGTAGTATCTGTGGATAAAAATATGAGAATGATATTATAATTACAATCAATTACAAATTTTGTGCACAAAATTAAATGTATTACAAAAAAATATAAAATATACAATATTGTATAATTACATATATATTCAACTTTAATAGACATATAAATAATTAGACAGTATATAATAAAACTTGTTCTATAAGTATATATATATATATAT